GGTCGTATTCACCGATCAGACACATTGAATCTGTGAAAAAACATTTTTAGGGTCTTTTTAGGATTATTCATAATAACACAAAATATTTGGCAGTTGGAAGCAAATGGTACAAATTTGCATTATAATCAAAGATCACAAAGGACATCAAATGGCGCTCTTCAGCGGAATGCCGTCTGTCGTTTCTGTCCTCCGGCGCGGGGTGGACAATGCCAGGTAAGAGAAGATGATGATGAGGAAGATCCCTGCAAATGGGCACAATATCAGAATTCTTAGTACATAGAACATAGAATATGAACATCACAGCTCAAAGCGCAATAAGAACAGTAGGCGAGTTCCCGATTTCCAGGTGGGGGGGAGAGTTCTATTGATAAGGACATTTTGCTGCACAATGTTTGTAGTGTTCCTGCCACCCCCTTCACAGCCAGAGCATTCCAGGTTGCTAAGAGCAAGGTGGGGAGATGTGTAAGGCAGTGGCGTCACAAGGGGGGTGCGGCCCGTACCCGGGTGCCACCATTGGAGGGGTGACACCAAAGTGACTGACAGTCATTTTGATGTCACCCCTTATGAAATGTCGGGCACTCGAGAGCCCAACACTGTTAGGAGAGAAAAGGGGACCCAGCGGCATACCTCATCCCGCCGGGTGGACTTCCCCTCCTCTCTCAGGCGTCAAAAAGACCAGTGCGCATGCGCGATGATGTCATCGCGCGCGTGCGTGATGACGTCATGACGGGGTCTCAAAAGCTCCCCGTCCTCGGGTGACACCCAGCCTCGGGACGCCACTGGTGTAAGGGCCATACATATCTGCCCGCACAGCTCTTAGCAACCTGGGACGCTCTGGCCGGTGTCCCTCCCAGCTCCTGGCAACCAGTGACATCACTTGGTGGGAAGCCGGCCAGAGCTCGGTTGGCAGATAATGCATAGGCCCCCGGCCACCCCACAAAAGCCCTCTTGATACCCCCGCCCCACCCCACCACCATAGTCGACAAAAATGCTAGGGCCCTCCCTGATAATGCCCCATGATCAGAGTTGGGACAAGGCCCTTTAACACCCAAGGCAAAAATGCCAAAATACACCCCCACCCCATGAGCTGTGATCTGCTTCAACAGTGTAGGTTTCAGGTCGGGCCCCTTTTGCACCCCTTTCCTGTTGAAGTAGCCAAGGTGGCTGCCTCTGCTGCCTACACCTCGGCCCGGCCCTGCCCACTAGGTGCTTCTAACTCCATGCCCAAGCACATTTGGCTGGCAGAACATGCTGGGAGTTGTAGTTGTCTGACATCTGAACGTCTGACAAGCTTCCATTACTCCATGCCCAAGCACATTTGGCTGGCAGAACATGCTGGGAGTTGTAGTTGTCTGACATCTGAACGTCTGACAAGCTTCCATTACTCCATGCCCAAGCACATTTGGCTGGCAGAACCTGCTGGGAGTTGTAGTTGTCTGACATCTGAACGTCTGACAAGCTTCCATTACTCCATGCCCAAGCACATTTGGCTGGCAGAACCTGCTGGGAGTTGTAGTTGTCTGACAGCTGATCGTCTGACAAGCTTCCCATGTATAGCATTAACCAATCGAATGACTTTCAGGATTCACGGCGCATGTCTGGTACTTACCAATCGCCCCCAGCGTGCCCAGGGTGATGCCCAGAGCGGAGGATAAGGTGGGCATCCCTTCCATCCTGCCCACATCCACCTTGCATCGAGCTCTGCTGTTGCAGTGACACACTATGACTGGATGGCAGAAGAAGATCATTATTAGCCGAACAAACCCAAATCCCATCAGCTGCGGAAATCTCAGAGTTACAGTGACGGCCGAATGGAGAATCTCCTCAACTGGACCTGCCAATGCCCCCCCCATAAAGGCTTTAACCTGAGAAGTGAGACTCTGCTGTTCTCATTCCACAATTATTTACCAGCGGGGCCATTTCCTGCCCCCCTACACATGCCTGAAATCTGTGAGCTGAACAAAGACTTCCCCTAAATGACTGAAATATGAGACCGTCAGAGCCTTGAACTTAGCTAACCACAGCAAGATATGGAGGGAGGCTGAAGCAGCCAATGGAGACGCATTGGACAATCTCAGCTGTGCAAGGGATGATGGGAGTTTAATATAAAGAACGACTCCGGAAAAATGTATCTGACGACCGGGAACTATTGTCAACCGAATTCATATTGAAACATTGTAACACGGACTTTATGGGGTCTGTAACATGTTTTCGCCCAAGATTCACACAACTTTCACCCAACAGCCACACATTGTAGCTGTTGAATCTGATGTAAAAATGTGTGAATCTCGTGTCGGATGCATTTAACCTTCATCGGGCTGTTTTTCAAAAATCTCTCATTCGTATTATTTCTTTCTTGCTCGTTCACGTGATATTTCTGCTATTGAAGGCCATGTCCGCTAAGCCGCGCCGAGGGGGGCCTCTTAAGTTCCCCTCACATGTTGCCGTCGGCCGCCAGTCACCTGTAATGGGCTGAAGAGGCCTCGTGGGTAGAAAAAAAAGAAACGGAAAAAATTGTAATTGTTACACATGCCACTTAGAAGGTGGCGCGGGGAGCGCGGGGAACTCTGGGAACGCGTCTGAGTCACCTTTTCAGGAGAGAATAATGAGATGCAATTAGCGCACATCGCCGAGCACTCCGATTTTCTGAAAGATTATTTCATAATCGCGCCTAATAGCGGCAATTGAGGGGAGGGGGATGCCGGGTGACAAGTACACAGAAGAATATAGAAAAGGTCCTTCACAGCTGCCGGTGGGAGTGAAATGGGGGTACTGCTGGGAATGGGCGTCTTATTGATTAAACTGAATCGCTCCTGTGAGGCTGCTCACATGTACCAGAGATACCTCCCCCCCCCCCCCCCCAAAAAAAAGAAGGGAAATTTGAATATATAAGGAGCAGTATGGGCACCACACCAATGGTCAGAAAGTCCGGAGTGGTTTTTTAGTTGAATAATTGAATGAATAGGAGAGCCAATGTGTCCCCAGCGTTCAAACACTTCCCCTTCATGGGGGCACAAAAAAGTATAAATGTTTTCCGCCTGCAACACCTCTCTATCTCTAGGCCTTCTGTAATCCTGGCATAGAGTGCCCCATATCGATTTTATGACCCTCATTAGATTTGATCTGTAATCATCGATTTCCGGGCACTTGGAATATTGTTACTTTTATGACTACGCTGTCTGTAATTGTATCTGCTCTGAGCAACAGTGCTAAATATATCTCTGTATCGCTACACTTGACAATGTTGCAATGGACGTCAGATGTCACTGTTATGGTTTGGGCTGTATATTTTATACCCCTTAAAAGGAGAACTATGAGGGGGGTGCTTTTCACTCACCTCATAGTTCTAGCCGACCTGTGACAATGAGACTGTCACAGGTCGGCTCAGTAGATCAGGAGGTGAGCGCACACATGCCGGCGTTCGCTCACATCTCGATCCTGTCACGGCTCTCTGCCGTGACAGGGGAGGGGCTGGATTCCCCCTTCCCCGCTCCGATCCGCCAGCGCTGACTGGCGGAACGGACGGGGGAGGGGGCGGGTACAGCTGGCTCTGCCTCTAGATAGGCAGAGCCAGCTGTCACTCACGCAGCTGGGCGGATCCCGGCACAATTGTCGGGATCCGCTTCAGCTGCGGCGTCTCAGTATATAATGAGCTACAGCTCGCGGTATACTGAGCCTAGGGTGACGGGAGGACGCTAGTTTGTGTCCTCCCGTTACCCTAAGGAGAACTATGGGGAAAAGCCTTAACCCCATAGTTCTCCTTTAAAGGGGTTCTAAACCCTCCGTTTTTTTTGCCTATATCTACTGCTATCAAGAATCGGAAACTGTTCAGGCGGTTCTCGGCCGGGAGACGAGCAGAGACGCAAGGTAAGTCTATGGATGCGTGCACCCGCATGCAGACACAGGAGTCAGCGCTGGATCGGAGAGTCCCCGCAGCGCTGGAGGGACAGATGAAAACATCAGGAAAGAAGGAAGGAAGATCGGATTAAGAGACATCATTTAAGGTGAGTGCTAACATTAATGTGGGGGGAGGGGGGAAAAAACCATATCCTTTGATGTCACTTTAATAAAATAAAAATCTAAAGTTAACAAAAAGAAAAGTATAAATGTTTATAAGTAAAAAAAAAAACAAAACATGGCCAATGGTATGGCACCCCCTACTGGTTCTTACATAGGGAGAGTAAAACGTCTGGGACTCCGGGGACCAGGCAGTCTCTCTTTTTGAGGGACGGAGGGGTTTGGGTCTATAAGAAGGACAGTTGTGGAGGAGAGAGGGACGGAGGGGTTTGGGTCTATAAGAGGGCAGTTGTGGAGGAGAGAGGGACGGAGGGGTTTGGGTCTATAAGAGGAGAGTTGTGGAGGAGAGAGGGACGGAGGGGTTTGGGTCTTATTGAGGGACAGTTGTGGAGGAGAGAGGGACGGAGGGGTTTCGGTCTATAAGAGGGACAGTTGTGGAGGAGAGAGGGACGGAGGGGGTTAGGGTCTATAAGAAGGACAGTTGTGGAGGAGGGAGGGGCGGAGGGGTTTGGGTCTAGAAGAAGGACAGGTGTGGAGGAGAGAGGGACAGAGGGGTTTGGGTCTAGAAGAAGGACAGGTGTGGAGGAGAGAGGGACAGAGGGGTTTGGGTCTAGAAGAAGGACAGGTGTGGAGGAGAGAGGGACAGAGGGGTTTGGGTCTAGAAGAAGGACAGGTGTGGAGGAGAGAGGGACAGAGGGGTTTGGGTCTAGAAGAAGGACAGGTGTGGAGGAGAGAGGGACAGAGGGGTTTGGGTCTAGAAGAAGGACAGGTGTGGAGGAGAGAGGGACAGAGGGGTTTGGGTCTAGAAGAAGGACAGGTGTGGAGGAGAGAGGGACAGAGGGGTTTGGGTCTAGAAGAAGGACAGGTGTGGAGGAGAGAGGGACAGAGGGGTTTGGGTCTAGAAGAAGGACAGGTGTGGAGGAGAGAGGGACAGAGGGGTTTGGGTCTAGAAGAAGGACAGGTGTGGAGGAGAGAGGGACAGAGGGGTTTGGGTCTATAAGAAGGACAGTTGTAGAGGAGAGAGGGACGGAGGGGGTTAGGGTCTATAAGAAGGACAGTTGTGGAGGAGAGATGGACGGAGGGGTTCGGGTCTATAAGAAGGACAGTTGTGGAGGAGAGAGAGACGGAGGGGTTTGGATCTATAAGAAGGACAGTTGTGGAGGAGAGAGGGACGGAGGGGTTTGGGTCTATAAGAGGAACAGATGTGGAGGAGAGAGGGACGGAGGCGTTTGGGTCTATAAGAAGGACAGTTGTGGAGGGGAGAGGGACGGAGGGGTTTGGGTCTATAAGAGGAACAGTTGTGGAGGAGAGAGGGACAGAGATGGAGGAGAGATGGACGGAGGGGTTCGGGTCTATAAGAAGGACAGTTGTGGAGGAGAGAGAGACGGAGGGGTTTGGATCTATAAGAAGGACAGTTGTGGAGGAGAGAGGGACGGAGGGGTTTGGGTCTATAAGAGGAACAGATGTGGAGGAGAGAGGGACGGAGGCGTTTGGGTCTATAAGAAGGCCAGTTGTGGAGGAGAGAGGGGCGGAGGCGTTTGGGTCTATAAGAAGGCCAGTTGTGGAGGAGAGAGGGGCGGAGGCGTTTGGGTCTATAAGAAGGCCAGTTGTGGAGGAGAGAGGGGCGGAGGCGTTTGGGTCTATAAGAAGGCCAGTTGTGGAGGAGAGAGGGGCGGAGGCGTTTGGGTCTATAAGAAGGCCAGTTGTGGAGGAGAGAGGGGCGGAGGCGTTTGGGTCTATAAGAAGGCCAGTTGTGGAGGAGAGAGGGGCGGAGGCGTTTGGGTCTATAAGAAGGCCAGTTGTGGAGGAGAGAGGGGCGGAGGCGTTTGGGTCTATAAGAAGGCCAGTTGTGGAGGAGAGAGGGGCGGAGGCGTTTGGGTCTATAAGAAGGCCAGTTGTGGAGGAGAGAGGGGCGGAGGCGTTTGGGTCTATAAGAAGGCCAGTTGTGGAGGAGAGAGGGACGGAGGGGTTTGGGTCTATAAGAAGGACAGTTGTGGGGGAAAGAGGGACGGAGGGGTTTGGGTCCATAAGAAGGACAGTTGTGGAGGAGAGAGGGACAGAGGGGTTTGGGTCTATAAGAGGGACAGTTGTGGAGGAGAGAGGGATGGAGGGGTTTGGGTCTATAAGAAGGACAGTTGTGGAGGAGAGAGGGACGGAGGGGTTTGGGTCTATGAGAAGGACAGTTGTGGAGGAGAGAGGGACGGAGGGGGTTGGGTCGCTGCTTTGGTTTGGTAAGGTGAAGAAATTCGGGTCATCATGGCACTTTTGGCTCTGCGGGTAAGTGTTCCGTCACTCGGTGATGAAGCAGAATGTCTTCTCTCTCACATGCAGCACAGTGAACATTGAGATCGGATGAAATAGACGCAGGTTTGTTACCATGGCAAACCCGATCTACAGCTCTGGATGAGGACACTTCAGACTGAATAGCAGCGGCATAAATGATTCGGCCGTGAACTGTTTACACATAGAAACTGTCTGAGGAATGTGAAAATGTGAAACTCACAGAGAAAAGATTCTCTTCTCAGACCCATTACTGAAATTTAAAGGGGACCTGTGCAGACTGCTATCCATTGCTTGGCCATCTTTGTAATCCTCCGGGTTGAATACTGGTGGGCCTTTGTGGTTCTGACTTCACTGGCTGCATGCTGGTTCCAAGTCAACAACACAAAAGTTGCTGAAATCTAAAATGTCTCATACTTGGTTATTTTTCTTCTTTCTTGCAGTGAGAAGTTTTTTCGGTTGGGTTATAGGACAGAAGAAGATCAGCTGATTGACCCCCCCGCCCCCCCCCCCCCGGGGCGTGTCTCCTACACGCT